ACAGTAATATTATCGTTGGATTACTTATTTATAAGTATTAATTTTTTTCACATTGCTTCTTCATACTTGTTAGTTAAGATTCCTTGTAAGGGGACTTGCAAGGCAGCGTATTATATTGCTGAGCTTGGTTTCTCACTAACCGTCGTCAGGTCTATTATACTCGTAGTTGCAGAATCAATGTTTGCGTGGGTGAAATGTGATATTTTCCCTTAAGGAAAACAATAGTGAGCGATACCTCTTCGTAAATAGAAAAATGAAGTGTGTGCAAATAATATTATCATAATTTCGTTTGTCGGTGGCTTTGTCTTCTAACGCAGAGATTTGCTGTAGTCGTTTTCTATTACGAGTAATATTTTAAAAGTCTTCACTTCATAATTCGCTGGAATCACAGGAAGCGGATTCGCGCCTAACGTAATGCATCTGACGTATGTGTGTTCACAAGAAGTCAGTATTAGTGTTTTTACCATAAAGAAAATTTCGTACTATGTGGTAAATCTGGAAATGAGTAACGAGAGTGGTATTTGTCCAAAGGTTTTCCGTAAAACTTCATCTAAAAAAGAATAAAAAATTCCGGATGTTACCGGATATACGAAATCTTGAGTTATCAACAGCCTTATTGTCGTCATATTCGTACAAAAATAGAATTATTACTCCTGATATCGCTGTTACGATAAGAAATTTTAGTGCAACTGTCAAAAGGAACAAGGATGAAAAGTGAAAATCGTCTTGAGATAACGTGACGTCTTTAATTTCCGCTGAATATCTCTGAGAAGGAAAGGTCAAGTTTGAAATCACATATGCATTTTATCTATTTCGGGAATCCACAGAAGATTCTTCCGAAAGCATTGGAATTTCTTTTCGAATTTTGATGTATTTGGGTACAAAAACATGTGTTACAGTGGTTCTCTGCTATCAATCCGGATATTTCCCCATCAATGGATAAAAATGCTGATTCACTGAATTGAAACTATTGCTTGATATCTTGTTTGGGAAATAAAATAATAATAATTTATTTGAATTCGAATGTGTCAGTGCTTATGATGCAAGATCAGGACTTTTCGAAACAATTATTCAATCTGCGATTATTTAGTTCACTCTAGCAAGGAAGTTCTAGAGGTTTATTCAGTTTAACAATGCTAGCTTGACAAAAATTCTTCATAGGTATTTGAATTACTTATTGTGTTTTAATAATATTTAATAATAATTATTATTATAATAATAATTATAATAATCTAATCCGCGTCTTAAGATGTTATGAGTCGTATTACCTGATAATAAAATATATTCCGGGTTGAACAAGCTTCCTAAGGAACAGATCTAGGTACTGTCGGAGCCTCCACTATTCTTTCCGCTGTTTCCAATAAAACAATGTCTTTCACAACCAAATATTTTAAATGATCTTGTAGTTTAGCCAAGATCTTACACAAATTTTGCGGAACAAATCCCAGAGCTCTCACAGTTACGGGACGACCTGTGATTTTACATCCCACATTTGGCTGATCTCGATTTCACAACCCCGTATATTCAAGACGTCTCTCTGCCTTTATGACGTTTTGATCGTGCAGCACAACAATATCTACAAGTAAACACGTTCTTTCTTTCTAAACAACAACAACAATAATAATATGTTTAGAAACGTTTGTATGTACTGAGCAAATGTTTAGGGGCGGGCCCAGAAAGTATTTCAGGCGAGGGAGCAATTTCACTTCCAACTCCTTCCACGCGAATTCGTTCGAAAAAACTTATTTTTTTTCCAACGCAAATGTCTTCTTAAAATGCAGCCGAATCGGTATTAATGAGATAACGTGGTATCTTCGCCGTTACGCAACAATTTGTATTACTTCATCTTCTGTCGCGGTAATACCGTGGCCATGGCATGACTCATCGTTGATACAAGTTCCGCGAATCTTCACTACGATAGCTGCGAGACGCGCTCTTCTGTGTTCGTGTCTCCGGGCTGGCACATCTTCTGTGCATCATTTCCTCTCCATTGGGCTGCGCGCCCGCAGCTTTGCAGCGCAGTTCAGTGTGGCCCCAGTGTACAATGCCGCCACACTTCCCTGCCATGTAGCCACTCCCATCCTTTCGGACATTTATGGCTAATCTGTAAAAGAGAGAAAAAGAACTAGATCAGGAAAGACAATAGCCGTTCGGCGCGCTTTTGACGTTGTTTAACGCAATTTTCATGCGAGTATTGGCGTCTCGCATACTGTAGCATATCTCTCGGGCGCTTGTACGTGGCCGTGGGATCCGACTCGTACAAAGATATTTTTTTTATGTCATTGTTTGACGCGTTAATTTTGGAAAAGAAATTACTAGCTAAATGTTTAAAGTTCTCTTCGAGGAGCGATAGTTTTAATGTAGAGTGTAATTCTGAGACTCTAATATTCATTGGCGCGCACAGTATTGTACGAAGGTACGCATTTTGAACTATTTGCAACTTATTCAAGTGCCCGTGCGCCGCTATTCCCCAACTTGGGCAGGCGTAGTCCATAATGGGCCTATTGCCATGTCATG